CACAAAAAGACAACAACAGCAACAACATAATGTGAGGTAATCATATTTTTCACAAAACGAAGACCGCACCATAGGGAAGCTTAACGTCTGTTTAATCAAAAATAAGGAACAGGGAGAGGCTTGCAAAACTCTGGGAGTTGAGACTCAGGTGCAGGGTGAGGGTCTCATTGCAGGTCTTCAGGCTCCATTGAATCCCCCTGGGGTTCTTGCGCTGAGAGAGGGAGACAGGAGAAAGGGTTAAATACATCTAGCAACCTACAGTATAGGATGGGAAATTGCTGACCTATTTGAAACTTACCTTGTGTTTTCACTCTCACTTAAGTCCCTCTCCCTTTGCCATCAATCCAAAATCAGCTGAGCTGCAACATAATACAGACAGGTAATAATCAACAGAATCCCAAGGACATCATATGGCTCTGCTAAAAACACTCACCCATAAGTTACGTTTTTGTTTACTGTTTGGAGGTCTCAAATATGCACGTGTATGATAAATCCATATCAATAGCGATGTATCACACAAATAGCTCTCTTCCTTATTATTGTGTAACGTGAACTATATTATACTAGCTTGAATTCTAAAATGGATATCCTCATTTCATCATCTCCACCCACTACAATTACACACGCCCCAATGTTATATTTAACTAATATTTAACTCCCTCCACCCCGGATAAAAGCACGTTAAGAAGCCCCTTTTCTCTAATTCCACAACGTTGGGTTGAAATAACATTAGGAGAACGTATTAATAGGCTGTTCGTGGTTAACGTGTGTTGCTAACTTTATCCGGAATTCTAGCCTAATCTGTTATCTGTAAACGTAAATCAGTAGATTTAGGGATAATCCACTAACATCCTTTAATACACATGTTAATTTGACTCAGATGTGCTGATAATCCGCAATATAAATCTTTAAACGTCTTCTTACCTTTAAAAGTTCAACACGAACGGTCTATTATGCTGCAACTCTACTGCGCTGCTAGCCGCAGATAGCCCCGCAAGTCAGCGGCAAGCTAACTTCCGGGGAACTATTGAGAGCTCCACGATCCGCAATTGCTGTAAAAAAACTGGTCCATTGGAGTGAACGGAGATGTCGTAACTCTTCTATCTATATGGCGCTGGGTAGTGACAGTGACAACATCAATCAATCTGTTCCACGTAGCGCGCCCCCTAGAGGCCTGGAGCACTTCCGGAATGTTTTTTTTGGGGTGTGTTTTGGGATTTGTATGTGCTTTGGACTTTGCATATCGTTTTGGTATTTGCAGCGTTTTTTTGTTGCGTTTTTTTTCGGGGTTCGTGTGTTGTATTTAGTTTGCATCATTTCTGTAAATGCAGCGTTTTTTGGTTGTATTTGTTTTCAGGATTTGTTTGTTTTTCATTTCAGGATTTGCAGCTGTTTCCTGCTAATGTATGCGTTTTTGGCCGTTGTTCCGCGTTTGCACCTGCCAGCCACCATACAATTGTGATTGCTACAAACATCTGGGATCTTAACAATTATCTTTTCTTTGAACTGAACTTTGCATATCGTGAACTGTACTGTACTTTACTATTATTTTGGTTTACACTGACTGTGTTTTTGCTGGCCCAGTCCTCATATCCTGTAGGGTATGTTATTTAAAAAAAAAAGTTACTGAAAGCTCCTGAAGAACTCGCATCAAAGGAGGCCGTTCTTGTGCGTCACTCTTATCTAGTCAAATCAGCGAGCTCCGTGTATCAGAACGCGGAGGGTTCACAGGTCATGGGTTTCCTTTCCTCCTTCCAACGAAAGAGGAAGATGGCGGCCGCAGGCAGCGACGGAACAGGTTTAGCAGTCAGATAATACCGAAGAGTAGGGCGCCTTTAAGACGTCACTTTCAGGGAACACGCACACTAATGGCGCTGCTGTATGGCTTGTTATGGAGGCTCTTGCTCTTTCTGGTCCACATAAACAGGGCGCTGGTCTCCTGGCTCCGTGTCCGGCTTCGGAGCTGGAAGGGTCGGCTTTGGGAGCGGGTGATGGCCGCTTTGCTCCTGCCGGTAGCCCTGGCCGGGGTCCCCGACCCCCAGAGGAAGGTAAACCAGGACCCTGATGCTAACGCTAACCCGGTAACTGGAAACCGCAATGCCGTGCGTCGGTCCCGCTGGCTGTCTGACGGCAGGTCTCTGGAGAATCTGCCGGTCCACATCGGCCTGTTGGTGGCGGAAGAAGAGCCCAGCTACACGGACATAGCAAACCTGGCAGTGTGGTGCATGGCTGTCGGGATATCTTATGTCAGCGTCTATGATAACCACGGTAAAAACCCTGAACGCTTCACCCCATACTAACCGCCTCTGTCGCTGTCTCTGATGGCTGGCCTAATAAAGGCTCAACGCTATTTAATTTACCATTCAAAAATACATATGTATATTTTGACTGATGCAGGAGATGTCACACTCACTTTCCATCCCCTTAACTTAAATGTTGATTGAATACGTAAATCATATTTCAACTGAGCATATTTTATTCAAGTGGATTAAAGGTCCTCACTTCCCAGTCTCATTTCACCCCTTTCATGTGACTGTATGGTTATATTGGAATGTTCCACATTATGCCCTTTCAGTTCTAAAGTTAGGCTGAGACTTTTCTCATTCATTATTTAGTCTCTGAGAAAACATGGATGACACTGTGTATTATTTGGCCAATTCTGCTTGAAATATGATACTCGTTTTTTCCGGTCATATTTTATCTTGGTTAAATCTGGAACCCGGTGTTATTCCAACCCTTCTAGCTGTCAGGACATTATCCCAGTTTGAACTTAAACAGTGTTGCTCAATCAGCTGGGCTAACACTGAAAACACACTAATAACCACACACACTTATTACACTGGTTTATATTCTGAGAGCAAATGATGCACATTGATCATGTAAACTCCCGCTTTATTACTTTGTCCTTTTGAATATCTATATTCTCCTGAAACATAGCCCTGTTCTGTCGCTGTCTTATCTTTTCACACTGATGCATCTCTCTCAGGGAACCAAATCTGAACAAGGTACAAGTCCTGGAGACTTGGAGTCAGTTTTGCACATTTTAAGCCCTTTTTTTCTGATTTCAGATGCACAGGAGACGAACATTAAGTTAAGCACTTAAATGATTTTATAGGAGCTGTTACTAAGATTTGTTACATTATGAAAGAAATAAAACAGCAGCTAGAGTCAAAGCTCAAATGTCTCTTTCTCCACTCCAATTGTAATAAGAACATTCCTTGTTTTTTTCACCCTGGTTTGAATGATGTACTTATCAGCCACATTGGTTTCTTCACTCAGGCATTTTTCAGAAGAACAACTCTCGTCTGTTGGAGGAGATAGTAAGGCAGCAGCAGGACTTGATGGGTGTCGACGGATCCAAATGCGATGTGGAGTTTCTTAGCCAGGGAAGTGACAAACACCAGCACCATGGTAAGGACTCTCCTTTTTCACTCAGTACGTTTAAAAGTATATGTTCTTAAGTAAAATGTCAAGAATCATCATGTTAATCACATAGCTATCATATGCCTAAAACAGTCCTGATGCTCTTCTTGGTTATCATTAGGGGTGTAACGGTACACGTGTGTACCGAAGTGTACCGAACGAATATAACGTTAAACGTAAAAAATTGAGAACGTGAACAACTTATTGGAAGTAATCTCAGGTGCTGCGTCGCAGCATTCAGAG